CTACAGAGACGCATTAGAAACATGGATCTGTGGCCATCAGTGAGATTAACACACTGTCCAATTAGAAAATTTGGTGTTGGGTTTTTCTTCACAACTCATGAAATTTATACAAAGCTAGTTCACTTCAATCATAATTAAAGACTCAGTTCCCTAAAATGATTATTCTTCTGAGTAGAGTAACAGGGGCATTGTTTCTGGAAAGCTGTTTTTTTTTTTTAAATGGTGTTTTGTTATCATATTTTGATATAAATTATCACCATAAATTAAATCTCATTCACCTCTTACGGTGGCCCTGAGAGCTCAACACACTGCAACTTGTGAAAACATGTAAATACACAAACGCACTGCAAATTCAGAAAACATCTTCGTCAGTTTGACAGCATGTGCTGCAAATTCAATCAGCAGCCGCAGTGTTTCCACGGGACTCTAAAAAGCAATGAACCTGGCTGGGACACGCCTGTTGTTCAATGTCCAATTGTGACTTTTGTTAAGTTAAAAGAGTTGAATAATAAGTGCGTCACAGAAGGTTTCATTTTCTTTTTAAGTTATTTTTTGCCCTAATTCTGAGAGAGAGAGAGAGAGAGAGAGAGAGAGAGAGAGAGAGAAAAGAGGTTAGGATTATTCCTTCATGGAAACATTTTAGAAACTTTCTAAATGACGTGAGGTGAATAATAAATGCTGTCTTTGTCTCTGAGTCAGACCATCCACTTCTACTTGAGTTAATAATTCAGTGTGTGAAGTTAGTATGTGTGTGTGTGTGTGTGTGTGTGTGTGTGTGTTTGTGTATTAGGGTTGCAAAATATGCAAACAAATTATTTTTAAAAAATGATATTGCAATTATTTTTGGCAGTTATTGTGATTTCATTGGAATGGTTGTTTTTTCATTTCAGTCTTGTACCAAACAAACATGTTCCTTTACATCTGGAGAATATGATCTGTAGGTCGGGGGGCGTCTCTGTAGCACCACAACGCTGATGTTGCTAACAACGCACAACAACATGACACGTTTTACCTTTGTCGAAACAATTGCAGCTCCTGTGGTTTGGATATTGCACTTCGCCATACTGTGATTTCAATTATATTCCCATTAATTATGCAGCTCTAGTTTTCTAGTATTTTCCAGTCAGAGCTATATTAACTCCTGTCTGCACGTATACCCTTGTTAGCTAAACAGTATAGTGAGTGAGTGGACAATCTGAGCACAGCCTATGACCAATTTGACCTCCAGATGTGCAGTCATCACTGGTTTATTGTTACTGACACCATTGACATCTGGTGAACGAACAAAGGAGGAACAAACAAACAATGAACACAACAACGAGGTGAAAGAGAAGAGAAATGTTGCATCTTCCAATAAAAAAGTCAAGATGTCTGAATGAAGTTAGAATAAACTTGCCTCCACCCAGCACAACACATGTGAATGGGATTTAATTTGCAACAATTACCTGAAAGACTGTGGATAATCCACAGACCTCACAGTAGACATTTCACTGGAACATTGTTGAGTTCACTTTCTGCTGAAGAAATGGTCTGGTAGCACGTTTTGTTGACTGTTTCTGGATCTCTAACACAGGCTGAAAACGCGTTTGATATCAGGGTCGAACAATTAATAGAAATAATATCAAAATCACAATATGACCAAGTGCAATATCCAAACTACAGGAGCTGCAATTTTCTGATAAATGTAAACTGTGTCACAACCTTTATAAACCAAGCGTTGGGGTGCTACAGCTGTGACCCCGGCCTACACATCATATTCTCCGAACATAAAACAACATGTTTGTTCGGTACAAGACCAACAAAAAATCACATCATCAATCATTTTTATATTTTTTGCAGTAACAGAAGAAAACTTCACACGTGTATTAAGTGAGGCAGGTGTGTAGGAGCAGGATGAATTGATCCAAAGTAGGATCTAAATAATCCTGCACAGTCTGACTTACAACAAACTATTAATTTGCAACGTTTCAGTGCTGCACCTTCATCAGGCAAATGGTTTGTCTGTAACCAATCACCACGTGAACAATTAACAGACATTAATTCACTATATAACAGTTTATGATATATTATAGAAGATTAGAAACTCCATGCAGTGACAAATAGGAATACCCTTACGTTTTTTTTAAGCTTCATAAATATTCATACAAAGATCCACTCTTATGTTTACCTATTCACTGTGAAGAAAATGTAAGGGTTTACCTTTTAGTTAGCAGTAGTAGTTAGTAGTTAGTTAGTTACCTATTAGCATACCTAGCACCAAAACATTGCAAATAAATTGTTCATTGCAAGTCAGACAGTGTGCAGGATTTTTTGAATCGCTATATTTTTTGCAGTGAAAGTGAAAATGCAAAAATGACCACACCGACTGAAATCATAACTCATATCACAATATTGTTTGTTTTTCTGTTGTTGTTTTTCGCATATCGTTCTGCTGTAGTTGATATTATAACATGAGATGTCCATCAGATAGCACTGATGTTTTTCTCTCTTGGTCACAATTCTTTGATAAACCAAGTTTGAGGGAAGCTTTTTGTTTCTGTCTCATTTCTGTAAAAAAAAAAAACAAATGTATGTTCTGTTATGAAAAAACATAACATACAATTTACCCATGTACCTGGATCACACATTTAAAATGTACATGCTCCTGAACCCTACTTCAACAGCTTTATGCGGCTTTCAGACAGAAAGTGATTTGCACTGCACTCACTGCTCGGCTCAGTGGGCAGTTCAGGGGAGTCGTGGAGGAAAGAGCAAACACAGGCCTAGGTCTAGGTCTAGGTCTCGGTCTAGGTCTAGGTCTCGGTCTAGGTCTCGGTAGGTCCAAGGTCTAGGTTGAAAACTAAAGTAGAAAGGGCCTTTGCTGTCAGGGCCCTGAACTTTGGAACAACCTACCAGAGGAGATCAGACTCTGAGTCAGTTCAGTTTCATCTTCTTCACTTAAGATGCATTTTTATAAAAAAAAAGACTTTATTGTGTCTTTGTAATTTCACACACACATTCCACTTTGTTTGGATGTTTTACATTCTACTCATGTGAAGCACTTTGTTACTTGTATTGAAAAGTGCTATTCAAATAAAATATTATCATTACTATTATCATAGACAATTTGGGAGTTTCCAATACTTTTGGCAGGACACGTCACTATGAAGCAGGAAGCTCCCGCTGTGTTCTCGCTGAGTCTGTCATTGCCATCAGCAAAGATGTGTCTTTCCCATGCCAGCGTTAGCACTAGCAGTGAAAAAGAGACTGTGGGTGCCCCCAAGTACCCTATACAAAAATCTAATATATAACATATACTGTATGTAACTATATTAGGAGTAATATACTGTATACTGTATGTGACCTATAAGGGGATATATTATTATATATCATATATTATCACATATATGACATACATAGTACACCCATAGGAAAAGTACATATATCAAAAATATATTAAAAATATCCATGGTAAATTTTTATGGCATACCATGTTGAGACCATGTATGGTAATGAATTATATTTGATTTATATCCAAAAGTTTATTAAAGCATAATATTAATACACAAATAAAATAATAAATATACACAAAATAATAAAATACACAAATAAAATTTATATGTGCTTACATAAGTTTTTATCATTAATTTCTCATTAATTTGAAAAATTTGTACGGGCTAGAAATACATGTCAATATACGAAATTGTTCCAATTTCTAACAGGTTGTTGCGTTCTGTCTGAAAGCCCCATTAGAGAGCACGACATAACATTTCTGAACAATGACAGATCATTTAATCACGAAGTAGCTCGACCTGCTGAGCCACAGATTCAGACTATTGCTTTCACTCTGAGTGTGAGCCCACAGCTGGTCACCCTCTCTGTGACTTCTGAGTCATCCTCAGTGGACCTTCATTCTCCAGACAGACCTGCTGCGGTGGCACTGAGCTCTCCTACAGGAGGGGTCATTAACAGTCAGAGTCAGTGATCACTGTGAGGAATAAGTTCACTTTTGGAGATATGTTTTTAATTAAATGTTTAACGAGGAAAATAAATAATCAAGAGCAAGAGGTTTCCTCAACAACAATTCAACTGAATGTATATACAGTACACCTTCTGTGCAAAAAACATGGATTCAAAAGACATTGTAAGCTGATAACTTCAAGGCACACATATATTTATATATATATGTATATATAACATTATTTTTGCTGAAGAAAAGTGAGAGAGTTCTTTATGGGTTAAACAAAACAGATGTGTGTTTTCTTGCTGCCCACTCTGACACCCAGCATAAAACACAGCTAGCACTAACAACATGACCCTCCACCCCCTTTAACTGTGATAATGAATGACTGTTGAGAAGCAGGTGAAAGCGCTGCGGCCTGTCACCTGTGAATGTTTAATGAGTGTGACCTTTAAAATTTCCTTTTGAAGCAGAAAGAAATTCAGTGTGCACAAAAAATATGCCGTCTTTCTAGAGCAGGAATCAAATAATCCGTGTCTGTGTTTAGTGAAGCTGCAGTTTATTACTGTGGTGCAAACACAGTGTGATTGAGTGTGTGGTTCCCAGAAAAATACACCCTCTAGTGGTGACTGTGGCTGATTTGTGCCTCTTTGTGTCTCTTTTCTCCTTCTCTCATACAAAATTTCAATACTCCCATGATGTACTGCAGCTACGGTGTGGATGGATTCTGTATCTGTCGTGGTCACACCAGAAATCATTCACTTTTTACTGAAGATCAAAATGAAATGCAGCCTTGATACTTAGATATACATGAATCTTGATTGTACATGTGTGTGTGTGTGTGTGTGTGTGTGTGTGTGTGTGTGTGTTCACAGAACTCAAACAGCAACAACGCCAGAAAACCAATAACTTATAAATCCAATGTTGTTATATAAAAGATTTCATCCAGCCAGTTGTATAAATTACATTTCTTGAAGACACAGGGGTTTCAAATAATATTAACACTGTACAGTGTCCAGTAAAGTGTGGGTAGTTGTCGGTAAAAATGCTCCTGATGCTCTCCAAAAACCATCATGTGCGACACAAGTCTGCGTCCTGAACACTGTTCTTGCAGTAGACTGTGCTGTTGTTCCCCAGGGGGCAGTCTCGGAAGCCGATGCCCCCATTAGGGGTGTAAATAGGCTGAATGCGGAAATCTCCCTTGAGGATCTGCTCATTGTTGAGCGAAACTATCTGGAAGCTGGTCTCAGTCATTTCCAAGATGGAGTTATCTTTCTTGGTGCCCGCCTCGCAGTAGTCGTCTTTTCTCCGACCCCGGTTGTATTTCCACTTGGTGGAAGACTTGGAGCGGCTCTTCTTGTGCACGTGCCAGCAGAAAATGCTGAGGAGCGCCACCAGCACCACGATCACGGCCCCGCCAATCAGCCCGGCCAGCAAGAAAGGCGAGCTAGGCTCCTGCTGCGTGGCCTGCTCGGGCCCTGACGGTCTTTTGTTGTTGTTGTCGGGGCTGAACAGGGCCGGCGTGGTCATGGCTTCGGTGCACACGGTGTCATCTTTGGGCCGGTAATTATTGAATGCGTCCAAGGGAATTACGCAGATCCGATAGGTGGACTTTGGCTCAAGATTAGCCAGTCGGATCCCCCGGTGATCTCCACCCACTATCCTCTCCCTGACGGTGTCCCCTGTCAGACTGGGGCCCATCCTGGCCCAGGTCACCTTGTAGGCAGTGACTGGAAAGGCGGCCACCCAGCTGACGTGGATAGCCGAGCCGTTCAGTATTGCAAATGTGACCTGCACAGTCTCCCTCCGGGGATCCAGAGGTTGCTTAGTCCTCAAACCCCCCTCTCTGGTTGTATAGATAGGGTAGAGGGTGGGTAATGTGGGGAGGGGTTGCCTGGAGGAGGAGGAGGAAACAAAGTGAGTTACTAAAGAGGAGTGTGTGGAAGATGACAGGGATGGGATCAGAGCGGAGGTGGACAGGGGAGGTTCTGCTGTGCTCAGCGGGCACTGGACCAGCTCCGCGCTCAGCTCCCTGATCACCATGCCCCGGAACTTCTCAGGTTTATGGCACATGAAGCCGCGCACGTTGAGCGAGGCCGGCAGAGATTTAAGCCACGACACCACCCACTTGATGCTACAGTCGCACAGCCAAAGGTTGTTCCGGACAGTCAGCTGTCTGAGACTGACGAGGCCGTCAAACACCCCCCATGTTAACGACTGCAGCTGGTTGTTGGAGATATCCAGCCTCTCCAGCTTGTGCAGCCCTGCGAATGCTCTGACGGGGATCCGGTTTATCTGGTTCTCCTGAAAGTTTAACTTGACGAGCACCTCCCCTGGGAGAAATGGGGGAGGATACGTGAGCGAGTTGCGGGCCAGGGACAGCTCCCTCAGAGTGACCAGGTCCTGGAAGGTCCCCGGTGCAATCCCTTCGTCCGTCAGCAGGTTTCCGTCCAGCAGGAGGCGCTCCAGCCGGGTCACATTCCTAAACGCCTCCTCTGCGATAACCGCGATCCGGTTCTCATCCAGCCGCAGTTCTTTTAGATCATCTGGAAGACCGATAGGCACGCTGCTGAGGTGGTTTTTGGTGAGGAAGAGCATCTTCAGGCTCACGGCCTCTCGGAAGGCGCCTTCCTCCACCCCGACTGTAGAAATGGAGTTATCGTCCAGATGCAGCTCCTCCAGCCACAGAAGCTGAGCCAGAGCCACTCTGGAGATAGTCTGAATGTTGTTCTCCTGCAAGTGGACAACCCTCACATTTTTGGGCAGGTTAATGGGGAACTCATCCAGCTGGTTGCCATAGAGATACACAGTTTCCACAGACGCCACATGGTGGAGCTCCAGGGGAAAACCAGCATTATTGATTTGGTTGTTGTGGAGGTAGAGGGTCTTATAACCCTCACCGATTCCCAGAGGCACTGAGGTCAGGCTCCGCTCGTTGCAGTAAATAAAGGTGCGATCGCAGCGGCACTCCTCGGGACAGTTGGAGGCCCGGGAGAACTGGAGATGAAGGCCCAACAGTATAGGTATCCACGGCCTTATGAAGGTGGCCCAGTCCTTATTCCACAAACGCCACTGTATCTCCATTTCAAAAGGGGATTGGAAAAATCCAGAAACCAAATTATAAGAAACTGTGGTTTGAAAATTCCAACAGAGCAGTCATCACATTTTGGCCGTTGGCGTAGTAACACCACCGTGTTCCAGACCGGCGCTGAAGAAGGTCTTGAGTAATCCCTCGGTAATTAGTAGTCCTAAACTTCCCAACACAAGAGCAGCGGTCTCATTAAACAATAAGATTCCTCCACCAGCCACTGTTCATCACTGAGTTGGGACACACAAGTAAAGTTCACCATATTGTCACACTGTGTCCCCTGTTACCAGCGGGCAGAGCTCTGTTCACAGCGCTCAGAGCCACGTTCAAAACACAGGAGGGTCATCACCGGCGCTCCTCTTCCTCGCCTCCTGCCGTCCTTTCACTTCACACACTGCTGGCTCCACGGCGATAAAGCTTCTCTCGCACTTGACATTTGGATCCAGAAACCTGTTGCAAAATAATGATAAAAAAAAAAAAAGATAATGGGGGGAGAAAAAAAATGCACGTTTTCCACTAAAAGACCAAAGGATTTCTCCCCTCTCTGTTCCACAAATGCAAAGCGAGGCATTGTAAATTGGAAGAGCGGAGCAGTGTGCATACAAATGACTTACAGATCTGTTACATATTCCTCAGACACACAGCTAGAGGAAAAGGATATTTGAAAAGATATGAGAGCAAAGTTCTGGTAAAATCATTGGAAAAAAAAAAACAGTTTAAAAAGTCTATGTGCAGATTACTAACGTGAGACCTAATCTAAAATGAAAACATATGCTAAGCGGATTCAAACACTTTTTTTTTTTTCCTCTCCCTCTCCAGTTGATAACCACGAACGTGAACAAACTGACAAAACGAACATTTTCAAAAACGGCCACATTGGGAGGGATTAAAACACGCGGCCGGAAGCGCTCTGCGAGCAACGAGGTGTGAAGTGAGCTGCTGAAGATGACCGGCCTCAGCGACGGGCACCATGACACCGTTAGTTAGTGCCCTGCCCCACAGCACTGAGGAAGAACTGCCTTCAAAGGAAATTCACAAGAGGTCAAAGAGACAAAGCTGCATATTTGCTCTTAATCATTACTGCTGCATCACACTTTGCTTTGCTCTCCACCCTTGATTCATTAAGTTGAGCCGTGCTGCTGGAGAGGAGGAGTGCCGGACGGTGATGAACGCAGCTGTCAGCAGAGATAAGATGAGACAAATTCCTCGCAGGAGGGGGACAAAACTAAGATCGATGTGGGCCTCTCGAAACAAGGAGAGGTGTTACTGTCAGAACAAGGTCACGAGATTTAAATAAAATGGAGAGATTTCCTTGTCCCGAGCTTATATTGGTTGGCACGCAAAAAAAAAAGCCTAATTATTTAGCTTGTGCTGCATTCAAGATGAATATCAATAAAATTAAAAAAAAAAAAAAATTAAAAACTTCCTATGGTTTTTACAATTCAATACAGTCCCCCACAAAGGAAGTGGTGATAATGTATTATTAGTGGTTGTTAGCTGGGTGGTAGTGATGATTAATAAAATGGCACCAGGCAGCAGCAGCAGCAGCAGCAGCAGCAGCCAATTGACAGATTGCATTGATTTGTGGCCAAGGCAGTTCAATAGTTATGTAATGTTCCTTGGGGGGCTAAACAAGGCATCAAACTGAGTCCAATTATGGTGACCCGACCTCACCGCGGTTGTTATTAGCAGGGCAGTGGGCATCAGTCCTGTGACATATACTTATATACGTATTCATGTGTCCCTGTCTTTTTTGTTTAACAGTTCTGTCCCAATGTGGAGAATAAACTGGCGGGTAGTTCATTAGCTCTGCGCCTTGAGAAGCAGACAGACCATGGGGATACCTCTTCTTGTTTTCCCACCTAATAAAAACGAAGTATTTATATATTAAAATAAGTGATTAAAAACTGAATTATAAAATGATACCAATGCAGTAAATACTACAGCTGCTATTCCCTGTTTTTCTGGTTGTTACTGTTTATTCTGACAATTATTTTGAAAGTTCGTCCTGTAAAAGAAGAATATTTCAACCCGGGGATGAAAGTGGCATCTAGAGTTTCAAACGATGCTCCGTTGATCAGAATCTTTCTTACCTCTCACTGCTGCTCATCCAGACGGTCTGCCCGTGCCCGCCTCTCCGCACAGCGCTGCGCTCACACCGAATACAAAGTCCGCATCCTGCCCGCTGCGCCCGCTCCTCTCTCCCGCTCCGGCTGCGGCTTCGGCTTCGGACTGGTCTCACTTGTTTTTTTTCCTGTACTGGGAAAGTAGAGCATTATGCTGAATGTTGCCCAAAGCAACAGCCAGGAAGGGGGGAGGAAGTTCAGGTCACCAACGGTCTGCTCCGCATCTTCCCTCCGTCTCCCCCAAAACGCACCCCGACAGCCTGAGACTCCCGGCCGGCCGCGCTGCTCGGGAGCAGCCGATGTAGGTCCTCCGCTGCCTGAGGAGGAGGAGGAGGAGGAGGAGGAGAAGGGGACATGAAGCAGAGAGGAGAGTTAGAGGCTCCCAGCCTGACCCCGCTCCACACAGATTAGAAACCTGGGATAAGAGGTCCTCAGTCTGGGTAAACTGTCTCAGAGACTGGCTGGAACCTCCTGGAGACCCGAAACTCACATCTGGCTCTGTTAACGCACGGTCTCTCTCTCTCTCTCTCTCTCTCTCTCTCTCTCTCTCTCTCTCGCGCGCGCGCTCTCTCTCTCGCTCTCTCTCGCTCTCTCTACCCATACATACCATTTTCTCCCTCTCTTTTCTCACAGCCTACTTCAGCTCCTCCCGCTCTCTCATGTGCTGCAGCTTTGTGTTTATATTTAAACAATTCATCTTCCAGACTTTTCTGACAACTTAAAATAAAATAAAAATTAAATTTAACATGTAATCCCAAAAATCACATCCACACATGGGTGAAGAGTTAAAACAGAGGAAACAATCAGCAACAATCTACTTCCTCCCTCCCATCATCACTGTTCATCTACAGACTCCTCAACCTAAAACCCACATGAGAGGTACAGTGGGGTAATTAGACAGCAGGGCCGGATCCTCCTGGGGGCTCCAGGGCAAACATAAGCTATGGGCACCAACTGAGCCCCCCACACATGTTCCTCCAGCCAATTTCCCCAAAGTCCCAAAATTTATACAATCTTTTTTACCTATAATTGTAAATGTTACAATATATTTCCCATATTCATGGCTGGAAGAATCTTGTGACTCCCCTAAATGGCTCCGTCCTCAAGTCGCTGCTCCTGTGTGTTGCACAGACACTGTTTGTAAGTAGCAGTAGCTAACTAGCTAACTTGTTTAATACACTTTCTTACCTTCTGAGTTTCTTAATTAGATTGTGTCAGTTATCTGCAGATGAACAACTAATGTTAGCTAGTTTATAACTTAGCCTTAAGTTACAGTTTAGGATGTTAGCTAGCTGATAGCTCGCCCTTTTATTTCCAGTGTTAGCTTGTCATTTCATTACCAATACAAAATGTTATTTATGATCTAACGTTAGCAAACACTGGTGCTCATGAGCAGTGAGACAATGGAGGAATAGTTGTTGTAGAGAGATGTTTTGACATCAATATAGTTTATTATTTCATGTGGTCTAGTGTTTTTTTTAGTCTTTTACAATTTTTTTTATAAAAGAAAAAAAAGTGAAATTAGATATTATTTGCTGAAATATTTAAATATTCAATAAATATATTAAATAATTCAATAATTAAATTAAAGTCTTTGTTTTCACTCAGGAATTCAGGAGTTTTACCTGATGGCTCATTGAACAATATCAAAATGGAGAAATAGTTGACTCCCCAATTGACATTGTATAATTTGGACTCTGATATTAAAGGTGCTGAAACCAGGCTGTGTGATACAGACCCATGTTTAACCCACTGACAGACAAACAAAGTTATTAGTCCGTTGAAAAATAGAATATCAGAAAAATAATTCTTTTCTTATATTGAGGAAATGATGTGTTTATTTTGGCTCTGTCCTCATGTTGCTGTCATGTGGCCGGACATCAAGATGTGGTTATTCTATTGCACTGAGTACGTTTTTTTAAGAAGTGAGTTTGACTTTTGTGGCTTTTCCTGTGTTTGTTAGTCATTACTAAATTTTAAACACTTTTCTTTTTATGTTACGACTACAGTCTGACCAGGGAAGCTAAAAGATGTTAACAGAAAGTTTTATTTAGTATTTTTTATCTTTTTATTTTACCTCCCTCTTTCTTTTTTGTTGTTTTAAAAGTTTGTTACTTTACTTTTTTAGACAATTTTTCTTTCTTGTCATTGTTTTGGGAGGCAGTGTGTTCCCTTTAATGAAGGGCTGCTGTTCTAGGCAGATTCTCTGCAGCAAATATCCGACAGGATGATGAAACAACACGGAGACGTCTTATTTAAAAGAATACCTTATTTAACATTTGACCTGTCGCTGCTCTGCCCTGTCCATCTGCACACACAAAAACATCCAGACACACACACACACACACACACACACACACACACACACACATGCTGCACTGTGTGCTCAACTCTTCACATAAAGCATCAGTGTGCTTTTTAAATGACTGCTAACCTTCAGCTGTACTCTCTTTAAAACACACACATACACACAGTCTGTGGTTTATTCTTATCCTCTATCAACAACTCTCCGGGTCTGAACACTTGCTGCCAAACATCACATCTGCTGCTGCCTCTTGCCACTCCAATCTATTAAATTAAAATTCAGGCTAAATCTGTCTGCAGCTTATCACCGTGTATGTGGAGTCCGTGGCTAGCATGACGATGCTGGTTTAGCACCACTTGTTTGTGCTGTGTTACTGTAATCCAGCTGCTTGTGTGTGTGTGTGTGTGTGTGTGTGTGTGTGTTTGTAACCTGGACAGCTGCTCAGAGGGTTTAGTGCAGGGGTTGGGGAGTAATGGATTACCTGTATATGTGACCAGATTACAGGGATCTGTTTACAAAACAGAGAGTGAGCAGGGTAAATCTACTTAGTTCTCATACACAGTTT